TATATAAACTGAATCATTCAATATAATTCATTCATATCTGGTTATTCATTACATTTATCAATTTATATCAATGCTTATTTCACATCCGAAGTNATTCAATATAATTCATTCATATCTGGTTATTCATTACATTTATCAATTTATATCAATGCTTATTTCACATCCGAAGTTTTTAAAAAAACGTATCAGTGCACTGATTAAGCGCAGCGTATAAGAAAATAGTGCATTCAAATATATACAGTGTTATGCCGCATGCAGTGTACACTTTAATGTGCTGATTTTTTGTGCGCCAAATGTGTTTACCGTTGATTCTCACTAACTGTGTCAAACTTTTATTAATAAACTTTTATTATTTCACTTCGGATGTGAAATAAGCATTGATATAAATTGATAAATGTAATGAATAACCAGATATGAATGAATTATATTGAATGATTCAGTTTATATATAAATTATATTTATTTATGTGTGACTCATTTAATATATATATTTATATAGAATTTTGCAAAAGTGGTTTTAAAGTTCCTATTCTCATATATAAAACTAATATAGATTTGTATTTTAATTTATGACAGGAAGGAAACAAATATTTGCATAATTTTTATTATATTTGCATTTAAATAATTAACTAATGTATGTTTTTTTAAATATCTTTAAATATTACAAGTTATATTTAAGATTTGAAACTATATTATGTTTTACTGTTTTTAATGTCTAGGTGTGGGTCAGATTTGATTCATAGATAAAAAAAACATTATTATCTAGAAAAAAATTATGACAATGATCAGGTACAAAGTTATATTTATGTATTTAATTTGTTTGTTTAATTGAGAGATATGCACTATGTAATTATAAATATATTTATGATTTAATTATAATTTTCAAATAAGAAAATGTTGTTTAGTAATAGCCTTATAGTTAGAACAGGTGTTGAGATATTTGTTAATTTAATGATTTATTTGTATTACTAATTGTATAATAATATTTACAGTAATTAAGTATAATTAGTTATTAATAATAACAGTTCTAAAAAGCAAATATAATAAAATTAAAGGTTTTAATATACTGTATTACTATTTCTAAAATAAAACAATTTAAAAATGATAATTTTGTAAACAATTTTAATTATAATTAAAACATACGTTTATTAATGATTTTTCTTACAAAAATTATTCTATAAAATATTTTACCTAATAAATTAAATCATTAAAAAGTACAATAAAATTGTATTTAAAATTGTATTCATTATGATTGGGACAGAATTGCAATGCCAGCTGAATATTAGTGAATATATGAGTTTGCAATATGGGATAACATATAGTTACCTAGCTCATTTCAATCACTAACCCGCAGCTAACATTGTGATTCAATTGTCCAGGTCAATTGTGTAACCAGATATGCTCCGTTCAGTGCGATAGTAACACTAATTGTGTTGTAAGAGTGGAACGGGAGGAGGCATCTGGTACTGAGACCAGTGGCGTGTGGGCACTGGAGGTATGTCCAGATACACACAAAATGGTTGACGGCTAATGTAACCTCTTTGAAGAGTTTATTGGCCTCTCCTGGGAGCACATCCGTCACCATTTCATACCATTCCCTATACGGATAGCATTGCGTACGCGTGTAATGCATTTGCCAAGAGTAAGGCGTACGCGTACACCGCCTACTTTGGCACTTGTAAGGCGTATGGTATTATGACCCTCGCAAGTGGGCACTCGGGTCGTCCAACCTATCAATCATTTATAGTAATAGTTGTTTTTTAATATATAAGTATTATAATTAAATACAATTTTATGCATCGTCTATGACCAACATGTCACACTCTAACACCATGTTATGTGCTTGGACATATTTATAAATAATGATCCAGTACATTGCACGTTTTAATTGTTTTATAGTTACGATGAGATATTTTACTAAATGTTTACTTTACTTAACTGTAATGACTACAGCATGTGCGATAATATGCAAAAAGCTTATTATTTGATGTTTATACTTAAATTAATTAAATATTTAAAGAACACTGTCATAATACAATACAGAAATTGCTAAGCTGGCACTCGGGATTTTTAATTGGATATGAAAGTCCATTCAATGCTGAGTCAGAATATGTAATTTATATTGTCCTGTGACCTCGGGTTCGGCTGGAGTGACCACTTTTATCTGGAAATATTTTATATAAAATGTCAACATGTGATATATCAATTTTATAGAGATTATGTAATTTATATTGTCCTGTGACCTCGGGTTCGGCTGGAGTGACCACTTTTATCGGGAAATATTTTATATAAAATGTCAACATGTGATATATCAATTTTATAGAGAATTTTACGTAGAATACGATGATATTAATTAAATTAATAAATAACATCATTTTAACCGAAAAATTGTTAAATAATCGGCAATAAAACTTTAAAATCACGTTATATTTGTTAAATTTTAATGTTTCATAATTGTTACTTACATATTCGAGTTCCTTATAAAATTCTCCATAAAATTGATATATCACATGTTTATATTTATTATGATAAAATAAACCGATAAAAGTGGTCATTATTTGTTAAATTTTAATGTTTCATAATTGTTACTTACATATTCGAGTTCCTTATAAAATTCTTCATAAAATTGATATATCACATGTTTATATTTATTATGATAAAATAAACCGATAAAAGTGGTCAATGAGGTCAAATATGGTAATATTTGCTAAGCTGGCAATTTGGGTTCTACAATTTAATATAAAAGCACTCTTTATTAGAAGTCATAAAATATCATTTAGTTTGTCCTTGGACTTCCGGTTCGGCCTGAGTGACCACTTTTATCGGTTTATTTTATCATAATAAATATAAACATGTGATATATCAATTTTATGAAGAATTTTATAAGGAACTCGAATATGTAAGTAACAATTATGAAACATTAAAATTTAACAAATATAACGTGATTTTAAAG